CTGATGTGCCTCCCCACTCTGGGATCCTCTTGGGGCGCTCTTTGGGCCGTATGGGGAGTTCTGTGGCCCCTTCTTGGGCCTCTCTTGGGCCATCTGGGGGTTCTCGTGAAGCATTAAAGACGCTTCGCAAGCGAAAAGGCGAGCAGGCAAGCATCATGTGTTTTCCTATGTGTTTGAAGGATGTTGGTCTCTTGAGGGGATCCCGAGGGACTCTGAGAGTACTTGGAACCGTCTTGTGGACCTTGTCGGGCCTCTTGGATGTTCGTCTGCAGCTATATTGAACCATGTTCGGCTTGGGGGCCATCTTGGAGCATCGGAGGCTCTCTTGGAGCCATATTGGGCTGTCTTGGGCGCCCTGACAGCTCGCGCTCCCTCCACTCCCCATAACAGCCACAAACACCTCAGGGAGGGGAGTAGGAGGGTACCCCTCGCAGCACGACGTGTGTTTAAACGGTGTGGTGTCGACACCGTGTGGTGAGTTAGAGGGGCTTCGGAATGACCGACTAGTTCTGGGACTCGGATCGTGCTCCGAGGACGTCTGGGCGACCGGGGCCTCCGGGGTCCCAGAACGGCGCGGCGGCGGGCCGTGCGGTGGGGTCGCCGTGGGTTCCGAGGTCTGGAACGGTCTGCCGCCGCACCAAATCTGGGACCCCAGCAGCAGCATAGCGAGTGGGAGCGTGCGAGGGAGGGACAGCGTGGAAGGAGGGTGGACGATCGTTTCGCTCCTCAGTGTTGTGCTGCTGCGCTGTGAGGGGAGGTGGAGGGCTGAAGAGGAGGTTGGGGCAGCCGAGGTCGACCCAGAGCTCCTGCCAGGGCGCTGGCGAGAGCGGGTCGGGGAGAGGGCGGCCAGGCCATCCTCCGCTGTCCGAGTTTCCGTAACCATTTTGTCTCAAGCCATTTTGGCTCAAGTGGCCTTTTCGGGCCAAGAGGCTATCGTCGCTCGTTTGCCGAGCACCCCAGACCTGCGCAAACGAACCGGTCGGAACAGTAGACGAATGGTGGAACGCATATTGTCCCGCGTTGTTCCATTGTGGTTGCTCTTCATTGCTGTTGTTGTTTTTTTCGCATGCTCGTCGCGTGATGGTTCCATTCGCGCGTATATATTCGCAGATAGTATCAGGGTCTCGCGGACCATTGCGCACCCGTTTTCATCGATGCAGAGCGAAGGAGTCCCAGGTGCTGGGTGCACAGGCCCCAGGGAGAGTGCACTGCATGGCGCGAGCCAGTATAACAGCTCAGGGTGCACTGAAGTGATTCCGCATGGTCGCAAGGTGCTTTTGTATGGCGCTATGGGTCGGCACAATTTCGGTGATATGCTGATGCCGTGGATCGTTGAAACGATGCTTCAAAGACGCTACGGTTTCTGTCCCGACGATTTCTTGCATGCTGACGTTGCAGGGGCCGATATGCGGGCGTATGGCGGTCATCTTGTCATCGGCGTTGGCTCTTTGTTCTCCAACATGTACAATGGCTCTCTCGATGTGATCTTTTGTGGGGGGGAAACTCTCACTGACTTGTCGCTCAATGGTGCGATCGGCATGTTCGGACGTGGTTTCAAAGCTTGCAATAAGGACGACTTCATGCACAGAGGCCACAGTCTGGTCTACTTGCTTCCCAAGGACAAGTTTGCCAAACCTGGCTTGTTCATCGCCAACACAGTTGGAGGTCCAGGCACCTCAAGAATCAATCAGAGCTGGTTTGACCATTGCACGCTCCGCCAAAATCTTCATCGGGCTGGCTACGAAGACTGCCTGGCGGCCCCAGACAGCGTGATCATGATCAACATTTTGTTTGGCGAATCCATATCTCTTCGCACAAACGGCCTACCAATGGGGAGATATTTCGCTTGGCAGTTCAACACGAAAGTTCACTTTGACGATGGATTCGTTGATGCTATTTTGGCAGCGGCGAGAACGAACAACGTCAGCATCGTCATGTTCCGAGCAGGCGCTGCGCCTGGCCACGATGGTCTGAAGCCGTATGAGGCTATGAAGTCCAGGCTTGAAAAAACAGACTCTTCAATTGCTGTGACCGTATTCGACGGGCTCAACATTTGGGACATAAGTGCTTTAATATCCAGGGCAACGCTTTTGATTTCCACAAGTTTGCACTGCCGTATCATCGCTTTCTCCTTCTATGTGCCTCGCGTGACAGTTGTTTTGGGGCCCAACGGTAAAAAAGTCGGGGCTTACAAGCACTTCGCATTCATGAGGGACTGGGACGGGGACTGGGATTACAGTAACGATGCTGCGGATGCGCGAATTGGCCTTTCAATCCAAGAAGCTCTCCGGCCTTCGAGTAAGGTTGTCTTCGACAACAACACGCGACGGGGCATCGGCATATACGAGAATGTATTCAAGACGTGGGCTGACAGTCTCCACAAGCATTGGAAATCGCATGGCAAGAGTGGACGCCAGTGAGAACAATACGGACCGAGATGTTCGGGTTTTTAATGCGCATTCTTGCCATCTGTCTCACCACCATACATACGTAATTTGGAGAGACTTCTATTATTAGTGGGGAAAAAAAAACAGCCTCCGCTGTCCGAGTTCGTTGACGCCCGCAGGAGTTATCCAGCAGGAGACCTCCCCAACCATCGGGCCCTCAACTCTCTGAAATTTGCGAGGGCGCGTTGATCAGTTAATTAGTGTCCCTGTTCTTGCATAAATGCTGTGTATTCGATAGTCTGTGAGCAGTTCTAGGTGGATTCGGACATCGCGGAGTGTGCCCCAAATTCAACGAGATGTCAAACAGTGATTGTTCATATTGTGTCGGTCGGATTTTGTTTGAGTTTCCAGACTGGTGTTCCCTCTGTAGCGTTGTCCTCGGTACAAGTTGTTCCACAATTTTGGCTTTGCCTTAGGGGTATTCATTTGTTTGTTCAGAACCTGGTGGATGCTGGTCCTGGTCGTCGCCTGGTTCCCCAGGGTTCTTCGGTGTTGTTGTGTAACGAGGGGGGACCCTGGGATTCGTCGGTTCGGGTTCCCTGCAAGGCGTTGCCCGGGTTTTTTGGACTTGGTTTCTTGGGCGTTCCCCAGGGTTCTGGGGCTTTGTTTCCTCACAGGGCCTTGCTTGGGTCCTTTAGTCATGGTTCTTCGGTTCGTTGTTGTTTTTTATCTGGTTCCTTGGCCTTGTTACTTCGATTCCTTGGGCTTGGTTTCGTGGTTTCCCTGGTCGTCCTTGGTCTTGGTTCCTTGTTGCCTCGCTACGCAGTGCTCAACAGTGCCATGCAACTCAACGCACAGCTGGATGTTCACAATCATGCAAAGCAAGATGTCAAGCAATTCGGCAAGCAATGTCAAGCAATGTCACGCAACTCGTCCGTGCAATAGGAAGTGTTCTCCACCAATCGGGCTCGCGCCGGGTTCATCAAAATGGTGTCTCCGCTGCAGCGTTGACCTCAATTCAAAATCGGCGCTTTGCTTCCGTCCTCTCGCCGCGACGCGGGCCACATTTCTGGATCTGAGTGCCTCCTCGTTGTCGCCGCCTCTTTTCCCCTCCCCCGCCTTCCCCTGGTCCTCCCGCTCATCCTACGTCTGCTCCTGCTGCCGCGGCTTTTCTTCTTCCGTCCTCGTCGTTTTCTTCCTCTTGTTCATCTTCTTGCTGATCCGCCACCTCCCCCTTCTCCTCCCCCTCCTCCTCCTCCTCCTCCTCCTCCTCCTCCTCCACCTCCCCATCTTCTCCTCCTCCTCCTCCTCCAGTGTATACAGCTCCCTCTTGTGACTGCGCACAACGCGATAGGGGTCGTTTGGGGGTCCCAGTTCAGCCATGGCCCCTGTCGGCGGGTAGAGATAACTCTACACCGCGGGAAGCGATGAGTGTGATGTGCAGGATGCCAGACATGGCGCCAGCGCGCCTGGCTTGCCATCCTCGGCCCCCCCATACAGTCCACCATGATTGTACGGTAGGTTCGCGTCGTGTCGACCAGCGGCGACCCCAGCGCGGGCGTTCAAGGTTGAACGCCGCCGGCGACCCAGAATCGATCGATGTTGAACGATCGGACGTTGCGGCAGCGGCCGATCGTTCAAGGTTGAACGATCCCTACGGTGTCAAAAACCAACGCTGGGGTCGGCACGACACGAACCTGCCGTACGGTTGGGGCAACTTTTCGAGGCTGCCCTTGCATCCCTGCCCCTCCGGTGTTAGGCATGCTTCAGCATTCTGCCGCGCTCCGCACGGAAAACGTCGACATGGCGTTCCAAGGCCTTTGCATCCTTACCGCGCAGCCTTACTATCCTGGTCGAGTGTACTCCAGGGATGCTTCCTCGGCACTCGGCTGCCGCACGAGCCTTCCACGAGACGAAGTCCAGTGCGGCTGCGCCTGCGGGGACGGCAGCGGCCTAGCGTGGACGGCGGTAAGCTCAAGCAGGGTTGCATCCAGAGCCTCCTCCTCCTCCTCCTCCTCCTCCTCAACCGAGGCTCCCGCCCGCTACGCCGATAACCTCGGCGGAGCGGGCAGGAGCCTCGGTTTCCCGTCCTCCCGCGAGTCGGGGCTGGGCGTCGGTGCGTGCCGGTCGCCCGTGGAGCGCGTTCCAGGAGCCGCGGGGCCCTGGCCATTCGACCAGCGGGCCCAGGCATGCGGCCTTCCAGGGCGAGGATCGCCCACCCATGGAGCACAGCACTCTGCCTGCCCCTCTTCCTGCTCCTCCTCCCCTCCTCTCTTGGCCCTCCCCCTTGTCTCCCCCTTCTCCTCCAATTTCTCGCCATTACCCCTCCCCCCCTCCCGCTCCCTCCGCAGAAGAGGCTAAGCCCACACGGAGTGGGTCCATACGGAGTGCTCGGTCTCCCCATGGGCTTCCTCCGTGGGGACTTAGCCTCCTGAGTGGGAGGCCGAGGCCATACGGAGTCAGTCCATGCGGAGTGCTCGGTCTCCGCACGGGCTTGTTCCGTATGACCTTGGCCTCTCTTGGCCTCTCCTCCCTCCCAGCGTCGTGGCCCCGCGCCGTGCAGCCAGGGCCCAGGGGGACGCCCTCCTCCCGGCGGCACCGGGCGCGTGAGCCATGGCGAAGCCGGGAGACCGCGTGAATGCCGCCCTGGACCGAAGGGGCCCTTCCTCCGCCTCGCGGTCCTCCTCGGGCGTGTTTCTCTTTTGCGTGGGGCATGACGGGCGTCATGGCCCCCGCCGCCCCCCCCTATGATTTAACGCTCCCCCCCCCCCCAGTGCGGTCCTGGCAGTGCTGCCGTGCGCATCGGGATCCGCATAGCTGTCCGCATAAGAATCCGCATAGGAGTCTGGTCCGCCGTTGCCGTCGTCGTCGGCGTCGGCGTCGTCGTCGTCGTTATGGTCGTCGTCGTCGTCGTCGTTGTCGTTGCTCGTCGCTCGTCGCTCATCGTCGTCGTGCGCGCGGACGTGGCTGGAGCCTTTTTTCTATCCGGGTCTGATGACGGCAATCATCTTGGGTGGGGTGGAGGGGGCCGATGACGTCATGTTTCGCGCCGGCGGCGTCTGGAAGTGCCTAGGAATGACCGAGGACGGGTAGCAGCAGCATGTAGGTGGCGATCTGCACCACAACGCCTGTGTACACCACAGTGCCCGCGTGTACACCACACGCCGCGTGGAAGACAGCGCCAGTGTGTGCCACAGTGCCTGCGGGCACCACAGCTTTTGTGTACACCGCAGCGCCTGCGTACACCACATCAGCCGTGCGCAACACAGCACCAATGTACACCACAATGCCTGCGTGAACTACAGCGCGTGTGTGCGCACCACGGCGCTTGTGTGCACTGCAGCAACTGTGTGCAGCAGAGCGCCACTGTTGTATGTTTAGAGTGTTAAAGGGAACCCTTAGGACAAAATGGAGCGCCTGTGGGTTCCACAACAATTTGGACAAGAGGAACCCTTAGGACAAGGTCGACAAAGGAAAAAAAGGAACGCCGCTGACATCTACGAGTCCTCCCGAACACGCTAGCATCATCCTAACTCCTCCCATCTGCGCCCAGAAGGCTCCAGCAAAATCGGCCGTTCGTGAACCAAGTGGATTGATTCAATAAGCCATCTGCGGTGCACGCTGATATGCGCACGTGCAATGCAGCGCCGACCCGCACGACAGGGGGAAAGGGTGATGCAGGAGGAGGAGGAGGTGGAAGAGGAGGGAGGAGGGAAACACGTCGCATTCTACTATCAAAACTTCCCTGACGTGGCGTTCAGTTGTCCGCAGCAGATCCTCACTTACATGCTCTTTCTACTTGTCCTGTGCACGCGGGCGCTGAGGTGTACACCAGCGCTGCGTTGCACGCGGATGCTGTGGTGTAGACGGGCGGTGTAGCGTGCACAGGCGCTGCGGTGCACGCAAGCACTGTAGTGTACACAGGCGTTGTGTTGCACATGGTTGCTGTGGTGTATACATTCGGTGTGGTGTACACCGGCGCTGTCTCGCACGCAAGCGCTGTGGTGTACACAAGCTCTGCGTTGCACACGGCTGTTGCGGTGTACGCGGGCTCTGTGGTGTACACGCGCGCCGCGGTGCAAGCGAACATTGTCGTCGTCGTCGTCGTCCTCGTCGTCCTCGTCGTCTTCGTCGTCCTCGTCGTCCTCGTCGTCCTCGTCGTCCTCGTCGTCCTCGTCGTCCTCGTCGTCCTCGTCGTCCCCGTCGTCCTCCTCGTCCTCCTCGTCCTCCTCGTCCTCCTCGTCCTCGTCGTCCTCGTCATCCTCGTCGTCCTCGTCGTCCTCGTCGTCCTCGTCGTTCGTCGCTCTTCGCTCGTCGCTCATCGTCGTCGTGCGCGCGGGCGCGACTGTGGTGCCGGAGCCACACCGCGGGGGGGGGGACGTTACGTCATACTCTCCTTCCGCCCCCCCACCCCCATGACGCCAGTCATCGCCGAATCTATAAAAACGCGCTCATCCTCAAACATGGATCAACGGGGCGTGGATTAGCCACGGGTCCCGTTTCCATGGATAATCGCGGACTTCCGCCGCCGAGCGAGGCGGCACCAGCTGCATTTCTCCCCGGATCCATGGATTTGGTGACCGCGCGCCGAGTCCATGGATCGCTAATCTATGTTTGCGCGCCCCTGATCCTCTTGCCAGCTTGCACACTATTAGATCACCCTCGGATGTCTGGGTGTTCGCTGCTGCCTTGAAGCCGAAGGGTGAGATATCTCATTTCCCTGCACAACTAGCCTTACGCAGGATCGCGTCTCTGTGGAGAGGGGGCCCTGTCCCATGCAGTCAGCACACTCAGCACATGCTCCTGCTCGTGTGCATTCGAAGAAAACCATACAAACATACTTTCGACAATCCTCCGTAGCCATTTTGGCCCAAGGCTCGAGCGAGACTGGCTGGCCCTGGCCGCCCCAGCCCTGAACGCCTCGCGCTCCCGGCCAGCCGGCTTGGTACGGTTTCGGGTTGCGCGCAGACATCCCCCCCAGGTGGTCCCCGCCTGGCCTCGACAGGCCCCAACGCCCAGGCCTGGCCGGCGTCGCTCCGCTCTCCGCCCGCCCGCGCGCGCCGGCTCCGGCTTGAGGGCCGCAGTGCCCGCGGCGAGCGAGCAGCTCGTGCCGCTCGCGCCCGCTCCGATGCCGCCCATGGACACGGCATGCGCGATGACTTCGTGGACGGCCGCAAAGCTCTGCCCGAGGCCTACAATCTAGGCCTCCCAGGTGGGGTCCGAGTAGATGGGGTCGAAGGAGCGCGCCGCTTCGCCGATACATGGGCGATGCGGATCGATGTGGAGCTCGATTTCCTCCACGCCGACGTGGCCGATGCATCGCCGGTGCATCGCCGATGCATCGCCGATGCATCGCTGGTGCATCGCCGATGCATCGCCGATGCATTGCCGATGTATCGGCGATGCGGCGCGATACTCCGACCCCATCTACTCGGACCCCATCTAGGAGGCCTCTGTACAAGGAGAGCTGCTGCTCCCGGCGGAAACTGCGTGCAGCGCTCTGCGGGAGAGGGGGGGGGCGATATGCGTGGCCACGGCGGTGGGCGTCGCCGCGGTCCCGCCGTATCCAGTGTCCATGGCGGGGCATAGCATGCCGAGCCCACAGCTGATAATGCTTGACGAGGCCTTGCATCCGCACGCGAAGTGCATGGACGGCTGGCACAGGGCCTTCGCAGAAGCCGACGCGGCGAATTGGGCACTCTTCATGCAATGCGGGGGCCAGTGCGTCACGCAAGGGATGTGCAACTAAACATGCACGAGCACAAAGAAGAAGTGCAGTATGATTCGCCTCCATCTCACAAACGCCACTTGGGAAAACAAGTTGCTTCCTTGGTCAAGTGCGATTACTTCGGCAAGCGCCTCGTTGAACCCCGTCATGGCCACTTGGAATCACGTCTACCTGATTTTCTGCTCTCAGGACTGGTGGGCTGGCACACGTTTTGAGGCTATTGATGAGACGTTTGGCTACTACTTCTCCGGCCACCTCACCTTGGAGGCTAGAATTTCCAACATGACGCAGCGCGCGCAGCTCGCTAGCGCGGGCACGGTTGTCCTCACTGGCACGAGCAGTGGTTGGGTGGGGGTGAACTTGCACGCCGATTGGCTGAAATTGCAGTTGCCAAATGTGAAGGTGTTGGCCGTTCCCATCGCAGGATTTTACGCGCGCGCCGAAATCCATTCCAAACGAAATTGCGTTTTTGTTGATGGTTTTTGTGTGCAGGCGTGCCCTGCCGCGCGGCGGTTTCCCGGCACATCTTAGAGCGTGCTGAACAGAATACGAGATGTTCATGTTGCACGTTGCTCATGCTATCGCGTACCAACGACGCGTGGCTTGAGCTATTTCGTGGACTCTTTCTGGCGAGGCCCTTCGAGGGCCCTCTCAAGGCCCGCCGGGGCCAGTACCGAGAGCTCTCGGCAGCAATTGTCGACAGTTGGCAAAAGCAGCGCCGCCGAAAGGGCTGCCGAAAGAGCCGTCGACAGGGCCGCCGAAATTGACGCCGAAAGGGCCGCCGAGAGAGCCGTCGAAAGGGCTGCCGGAATTGTCGCCGAAATTGCCGCCGAAATCGCCGCCGAAAATGCCGCCAAAATCGCCGCCGAAACTACCGCCGAAATTACCGCCGAAATCCTGGATTGCGCAGCCGAAAAAAAGGCAGAATTTGACCTTGGTTGCGATTGTATGCCAGTGTCCGCGGCGGCATCGCGCTTGATAGATCAGTGATTTCGCTTGGGACAGGGCAATGAACATTTCGGCGGCTATTTTGGCGGAGAGTTAATTCGGCCGCAATTTCGGCGGCAAGTTCGGCGGCAAGTTCGGCGGCAATTTCGGCGGTAATTTCGGCGGCGATTTCGGCGGCGATTTCGGCTGCAATTTCGGCGGCGATGTCTGCGACGATCTCGGTGGCCCTTTCGGCGGCTCTCCTGGCGGCCCTTTCAAGGGCCATTTCGGCGCCTGTGCTGCTGACAGCTGTCGACGAAGTCTGGTGGGAGCTCGCAGCATACGGCTGTGGCTCAGGGTCGATGTGCGGCGGCGCAGGCTGACGTGCCCTCAGCGCGATGATGATTGCAACATGTGTTATATTGTGGTCTTGGCGGTGATGATGGCGACGGCCGCGGTAATGTTTCGTTCAGAACGAATGCTCGCCAGGGGGCTTTGCAGGCGGGCCTACGCGCCCAGCGCTTCATGATTTCAACAAACAAACAGTGCCGCGCAAATCCTTCGGAATTCGGCGGCTATGTTGGGGGTCTTGGTGGCTCCGAACGGTGGTCCTCGGTGATTGCCTACGTCAAACTTTGGAGCTCATGTTTAACACCAACGTGCGTCGCGTCGTTGAAGGAACAAGGCATGGAACCGTACTTTTGCTTATTGTTGAACTTGACGCCGCAAACGCAGACAGCACCCACATTTGTGATTCAAGCGCAGACCGGTACCACTCAAATGCTGCGCGCGGGATCCCCACCCCCCCAGGCGACCGTGGTCAAATTCGCCACGGAGATATCGGGCGCGCCAGGCGCAGCGTACCACCATGATGCCCGACCAGACCATGGTCAGCCATAGTGACGCAAGCATGGTGGTTGCCGAGTGCAAGGCCAACTCCACAAGGTGACCACTTTTGAACGAGTGGAAAAACAACCAGACGGTCCGTCCCGGC